AGTTGACCTCTAGGCCAATTGGCTGTGAGGACCAGCTAGGACTACAGTGGAAGAGCTGCTGTGCAGGAGACACCCCTATGGAGTAGGACTTGCTTTAGTGGGAGGCCTGCGTGACTGCCTTACAAACTCAGCTCAAAAGTATCCAAATAGAATGGTCTGAAATTAAAACTTCTTAACTGCCCTAACCGGTTTGGCTCAGTGGATAGAGCGTCAGCCTGCGGACTGAAAGGTCCCAGGTTCGATTCCGGCCAAGGGCATGTACCTTGGTTGCAGGCACATTCCCAGTTGGGGGTGTGCAGGAGGCAGCTGATCGATGTTTCTCTCTCATCAATGTTTCTAACTCTCTATCCCTCTCCCTTCCGCTCTGTAAAAAATCAATAAAATATATATTTTAAAAAAACAAACAAACAAACAAAAAAAAACTTCTTAACTAAAAACAAGTCATGGCAGGTATTCATATCCTAGGTTGGTATCTTCCTTGATAAAGGTCAATCTTTATCTTAATTGAGCCTATCTGTTGTCTTTTTGCATCTAAGGTAACATATTTGATAACATACCTTTGAAATGTTAAGAAAATTGTCCTCCTCTAGATCCCTCAAGGCACAATCTCTACATCTATCAATAATGAATTTCACTTTCACGTAACCCTTCTTATGCCTCCTCCTTTTATTGTAATGTATAAAATAAGGCACAAAATTGCCATTCTCTAAAGCATTTTCTCAATCCATTGAGATTTTGCTTCCTGGCAGTTGTGGGAAGCAAATTGGCTCAAATAAACTCATAAAAATTCTTACAGGTTAGACATGAACTTGGACAAGGTAGAAATGCAAGTGGGGACTGATAGGGCAATCAAAGTCCTGTGACAGCCAAGAATAGGTAGATTTTTCAGATACTTGAGGGCAAAGACATGATGGCAGTTGAGGTTTGAGAAGAGTACACACCCCACTTGACTCCTCATAGAAACCCAAAGTAGGTGCATTTGAAGACAGTCTAAGAAAAAGAGTATGAGAGAGAACTAGTGGAAAACTGGAGTAATTAGGGTTATTTGGCTTAGAGAGAAGAAGTGTTTGAAGACCTGACTCTATGAAAGTTCCTAGAAGATTTGGTAGGCTTACAATATAGCAGTGCTGATTCAGGTTAGACATGCAACAAATGTCCTAATAAGCACTTCCAAGTCAGGAAGAAATGGCTTCCCTCTCCCTAACTGTCTTTCAGAACAGTGTATGTACAATGTGCTTCTCTTCCTTCAGCTTTGAATTAAGAACTCTTAAGAAGCAGGTGGTTGAATCAGGTGATCTGGTATAGACTGCAAGAAGTTCTTGGTGAAGAAATGAGAAGGGATCTTCTCAGGATCACCGAGTTCTATCTGGGTCTGCACAGATACAGGTCTACCTGTACCTGGTGTACCACCAGGACTTTCCCTTACCCACATCCCACCCGTCTCTTACCCACATCCCTACCTTCATTACCCAAAGTAGAGTCTGAAGCTTTCTACAGCCCTGGCCTAATTTCTTAAATGCTTCCCATTGATCATAATACATCCCTTTTCTGATGAAAACAGCAGCCTGACAGGGTGAGTAGAGCACCAGCCACGGAGAGTGTTCAGGGCTAAACCCAGCTTCCCTCCTATGGTAGACAATGCCTCAGAATTAGGTGGTATAGAGTCCTACCCAAATATCTTTAACTTCCTCTTGGAATTCTTTGCTCTGGTCCTTGCTTTCATTTCATTTTCTCGCAACCCAAACATCTTTATTTTGATTCTAAGTCACTATCTTTTGTGATCAAGAATTATAAGTAGTTTGTGATCTGGGGCTAGAAATTTGTCTTTCTCTGGATCCTGTTTTTTCTTCCTTTATCCTCTAAAACAAACACCCCTCCTTTGATATTCCTTTTGAAACTTTGACCTCTAATATGGACCTTAATAGTTAGCCTTTTCATTGAGTACTCCCTGAGAACCAGGATCCTGCCCTCCCAAATCAGCAGGAGTTAGGCTATTGGCTTTATCATTCTAAGGAAGGCCTTTGCATGTCAAAAGTTAGGTTTCTTCATTCTGGAGAAGGGCTGAGAAATGTGACTCTCCTATTTGCAGAAGAGGGAGAAGGAGGACACCTTTCACTGCATATGAATGGTAGTCACTCTACAAAGCTGTCAAGACAGTTAAGATTATCTGGGCTCCCAGAGTGTAAGTGGTGGTGTATAAGTGGTGATTTATCAGCCAGCCTCAGTGTTGGTAGCAGGCCTGAATTCAAATCCATCTCCTTGTGTTTAATTTTAGGTTGGGTGCTTAACTTCTCTGAGCCTGTTTCCTCAGTAGTAAGAGGGGAATAATTGTAACCTTTTAATTGGATAGTGTTGAGGACTAAAGGAGATAATATATTTTAAGCATGTGACATTTAGTAGGTGTTCAGTTACTTCCTTTCCACCCTTACCTGTATGATAACTCACCAGCAAGCTCTAAGGAGATTGCAAGAGACCAGAGGAAACTCTAGGTAAAGGCCTCAGGATTTTCTTAGGAGTCCTTAATTCTACCCACAGCAAAAGTCAGATGAAGGAAGAGGAGGAGGAGGAGGGGGGAAACCTTTGTAGGGGCCTGACAAGCATAAACATATTTCCCTTTTTAATCTAGACTGAGAAAATACAGGCTTCTGTTCTCCAGATGATGAAACACAGCACCTGGATTTACTGAAATATGGGAGTAGGCTCAGGAACAGGTTTCCCTCAATGGTTGATTCTTTTTTCAGCAGGTTTTCAAATCCACCACCAGACTGTGGCCAGTCTTCCCGTGTTGGGTCCTGAACCTATTGAACATGGGGGTTTTAATGTTTTGTCACCTTAATGATAGCCAGCTTGTTAAGGACGAGCCAAAACGGAAGAGGTGTAGGGTGGTAACGAATGAATCTGAATGACACTGTAATGCCTTAGAATGAATCCCTGACAGGAAGGTGATGGATGTAGAGAAATTCAAATTCCTTTAGTTTCTGGCCTAGGATCCATGTGGGAAGATTGGTTGATGTGATTGATTGCCAGGAGGGTAAGATGAATGAGGATGGGAGAGGCTTGGAAGAAGTGGGAGTAGGAGCTTTTTGGGGAAGTTGACAAACTTTTCATAGCATTCCCAATTACTCTGGGTTTCATTAGTGAAAACCTCAGATATAAACCCACAAAAAATATAAGGCATGTTCTTCTTGAGTGACAATTTGGACAGGGCAGGTTTTCTTTTTAAAAACCCCCTCTAGGGAATGTCAGCAAGGCCCCAGGGAAAATGTCAAAGCCTCTGGTACTTGGGTTCTTTGGATGGAGATTGAGTTAGGAATAAAGGGAGAAAGTCCACATTGTTCATTTCCCTCACACAGCATCACAACTCAGATTTCATGATGGGTTCTTTGGCATCTATGTTTACTGAGGTTTAACCTCAAGACCAGATAATTTTATGTTTTTGGTTTTCTTTTTCTCCGAGTCATAGGGAAATAATCTGTTGGTTGCCTATTTATTCACCACAATTTTGTGCTTAGTATCTCTTCCATTCTCTCTTCTACTAACTCTATACACACACACACACACACACACACACACACACACACTCTTCCTAACTGTAGTGTTTTTACCTTCCTTAGAAGAAGGGAGGTAGAGGAAATGTTTCTGTATTTTTGACATAGGCTAAATTGTCTCTGGTCTCTGGCATCTGTGATAGTTTTAAAAGCACTGGAGTGGACTCTCAAAGCACCTGCTCATGGTGTCTACTGAGATGCCAAGTTCCTTAATGAACATTTCACCTTCCTTTTCATTAAAAAAAATGATTTCCTGTTGGCATTTAAAAATAACTTAGGCTTGGCCTTTGCTGAGAGGGGAGACCCCCAAGGTGGAGATGCTCAGATTTAGATCAGTGGCTAAGCTCCTAAGGCTCTTTTTGGGAAACTACTCCTCCCCCAAAGATTGCCAGTGGAAGATGTAGAAATGCAAATGAGGAAGGTAGAATCCACAACTTTCCTAGTCTCTTGCCTTGGGGCCCAGGTCCTTGGTGTACAGACACCCCAGGAAGCCAAAGTTAAGAGAGTAAACACACTTTGAATATGGTTCAAGTTCAAAGGGCTTCCTTGTTCCTCAAGTTGCTTAAATTGCATTAAAATAACACCTCTTAATCTGGGAATCTGGATTGGCCAGTTTCTCAGTCTCAATTTTATTATTTGTCAAACACTGTTGTCAAGGTGATTGGATAGTTCTGGTTTTTCACTTAGTTTTGTGCATAATTGGAATACATCATTCCCTTTCTGATCCTAAGTTTTCCAAAGAGAGAAATAAAAGGTCTCAGCTGAATATATATTCTAGAAGCATTTATTGGAAAATAAAGCTGAGTTCTCATTCTGGGAGTAAAACAAAATAGAGTCGTTTTACAGCTTTTTGCGAGGGCAGGAGGGATTTCTCTTGGGGGTTGGGGGTTGTATAGATAAGTTGTAGTCACCTGTCCACTTACTGGGACCATTACTTCTCCATGGCCCAAAGGTGGTTTCTGAGCTGGAAAAGTCCTCAGGTCATGTTGGATCCTGGTTCCCCAGGATTGGGTGGGAAGAATTTTTCAAAAGTGCATACTCAGGTGAAAAACCCAACTACAAGCCTCCCACGAGGCAGGTATGTGGTCTCTGCTGCATTCATCTGCATGAACTTGTAGCTGGTCTTTTTGGAGCTAGTCAGAGTAGGGGAAGGTTGCTCCTTCAGGAGCCTGGACAGAACTCTGTCACTTTTTGCTTCCATTCCCTCTGATTCTCAGCGGCACAGCTAGATTAAACGTGTTCTGAAACTTACAGGGAAACATGACTTTGAAGGTCCCTCTGGATATGGATCCCAAACCAAATAACCTCCAAAAGTACAGGTACAAAAACCAGGAAGTAACTTGTGGGAAGATACAATTAGGAGGCCCAGGCTCCAATTTCATACTTTGTTAAGAGTATGCTGTATAATCTTGAGCCTCAATTTTCCCATGTATTGCAGATATCAAGACCAACCCTGTCCCAGGGAGAAGCTGTGTCCCCCTCCATTGTCATTCAATTGAACAAGTAAGTTTGTGTGGGGTGTTATCATGTGCTGTCCTTGCCTCGGGACCAAGCACTGCCTAGGGAGCGGGTGCAATAGTACTTGTTCACCACATGCTTACACTGGTCACACTTGACTATACAGCACCACTGGAATTTGCAGTTACAGCTGCTGATGGCCTCAGTTCTCCTCCCTTCCACCTGCAGGCCACACTCAGTGCACAGGCGCCTGCAGCTGTGTCGGTCCCACCTGGATGTGTTGTGGCTGTTCTGCAAACATTCCCGACCCTCTGTGCCCAAGATGCCCAGGCTGGAATTGCGGATACAGTAATTTGGTGATTCCTCTAAAAAGATCAGTTCAGACTCTGCACTGGGAAGGAAGGCTTCTCTGGGTGTCCAGTGGCCCTCGGCACTGTTCCCAGCTCTTAGCTGCCGCTTATCCATCTCAATTTTCAGTGCTTGGTCATACTTGACCTTTAGGAAGTCTCCTATCTCCCGGAAGTCAGCCAGCTGCATCCAGCATGTCTGGATGCTGCAGCTCCCTGAGATGCCATGGCATTTGCAGGTCCTTTTCATGGTGGCTCTTACGGCCTTAACAGAAAGACAGAGAAAGATAGTACAAGTGAGAGAATTGCTCTGGATAGGAAAGACCAAATTTTAGAGGATCCTTGGAATTACTTGGGGGAGCCCATGAAAAGTATTTTTTCCTGGGTCCTACTTCAGATCTTATCAATTAGAATGTTCAAAGATTTAAGGTCCTTGGTATTGGTGAATTTAAAGCTCCACTGGATAATTCTTAAAGAAAGCCAGGCAAGTGTTGAATAGATTATTGTAGTCAGGAAACCGAGGCTCCAGGCCCAAACTTCATCACTTGAGCTTGTTGCTTTTTCTGCCCAATTGGAATAAGAATGATCCAGAAAGTACTTTGTAAATTATAAAAGAAAATATGATCATTAGCACTGATATTGTTTTGAATCTGGGGGCTAGAGTATTTGTGGGGTCTGGATTTGTGCTCTGAGACCTCTCTCAGAGGGAAGGAAGCTCCTGGAGTTTGAACCTCTACCCCAAAGCAATTACCCACTTCTGTAATTGCTTTGAAGACCTCTTCCCCTTGCCCTGGGCAACCAAGACATCTAGATATAGGTTCAAAGGGAAATTTCTATGCTCTTAGCTCTACATCCAACTTGCTTCCAGATCTGAGTTCAGAATACCTAGCAGGGGTGGGAACTTCCGGCCCACGGCCTGCATAAGGTCCGAGAAATCATTTGGTCTAGCCCTGCCAAGGCATTAGGGTTGAGTTAATTAAATGTTTGACCAAATATAGCAGGCTAATTTAAAAAAAATAATTAAAAAATAATATTTTACTGATTTCAGAGAGGAAGAGAGAGAGAGAAACATCAATGACGAATGATTGGCTGCGTCCTGCATGCTTCACACTGGGGATAGAGCCCACAACCTGGACATGTGCCCTGACTGGGAATCAAACCGTGATCTCCCAGTTTATAGGTCAATGCTCAACCACTGAGACACATCAGCTGGGCAAAAGGGTTAAAAATTTTAAGTCACGGAAGCAAGGCCTTGATTCTGGGCTCTCAGAAACCTGCCTGTGGAGGAGCCAGAGCACCAGGTTTAGTGATAAGAGGACTAGACACCAGATCTGAGTTCATTGTCTGCCTATGGTGCTTATTAGTTGTATTGCCTTGACTAAGCCACTTGGAATGGCCTTAACTGGCTTCGTCACCCAGAGAATGGGGGTAACCATCTCAGTCCTGGCTGGGTGGTGTGAGGCTGAAACATGGATATGAGATAGCTCTTGGTAAGTTGTGAAAGGCTGTACAGATATGAAGCTGTTGCCAATACTGGGCCTGATGGCTGACTGGCCAACTCCCATACCCACCAGCCTGCCTGCCCTGTTGTTGTGAAGATTCATCAGGGCTCTGGCATCCTTTCCCTTCTCCAGGCTGTCCACAAAGAGTTTGGAGATCCTTTCCCCAAATTCCACATTGTCGCTGCAGCCTCCCCAGATCCAGCCATGGCCTCCTATACATATGAAAAGAATAAGTTCTGTGTACAGTTCCCTATGAAGTCCCAGGAGAATAGTCATGGTCATCTTGGCTGACACGCAGCTCTGCACTTCTCATCCCTTCCTCCCATTAGAGAGCCCAACATACCTGTTTTTCCATTTTTTGACTCATCACAGCCACAGCTTTCAAAGTCGCCCATGCTACAGTTCTTGGTGATGGTGTGCATGACTCCTGCAGAGCTGATAGCATGAATGAATGAAGTCTCCCTGGTGGCTTTGGAGAGAGAAAGGGGACTCAAAACATGGACTCTGATGACCTAAAACAGAGGCTTTGGAAAAGCAATGCTGTTTCTCTCCCTTGTCTCCTGCCCCTTTTGAGTTTAAGAGGATGTTCTTCTACTTGAGAGAACAGTACATATCTTGTTACTTCATTCAGGCAGAAATGAGTATCCCCACACTCTAGAAGTAAAACCCAGAGATAAAAGAGTGATGGGACCAAGGCCACTTTCCTCACCAGCTGTGGTGTTGAGAACAGGACTCTTCTCTCCAGAAGTCCAGCCTAGGCCTCTGCTCATTACCCACTGCTTTTGGGCCTCTGGCATTGAGGACTCATGCCCTGAGGCTGTCTTAGGAAACAGAGGACCTTTTCTTCCTTCTGACATACAACTAGAGCCCTGTAATAATCATAATGATCATGGCTACCACTTACTGAGCTTGTATCTTTTTTTTTTTTTAATTCTCATCAGAGGATATTTTTCCATTGATTTTTATTTTTTTTTAATATATTTTTTATTGATTTCAGAGAGGAAGGAAGTGGGGAGAGATAAACATCCATGAGGAGAATCATGGATCCGCTGCCTCCTGCACGCCCCCTACTGGGGATCGAGCCACAACCTGGGCACGTGTCCTTCACCGGAATCGAACCTGGGACCTTTCAGTTTGCAGGCTGACACTCTATCCAATGAGCCACACTGGCTGGGGCTCCATTGCTTTTTAGAGAGAGTGGAAGAGAGAGGTTGTATCTTCTTTTTTCTTCTTCTTTTTTTTTAAAAAAAATATATATCTTATTGATTTTTTACAGAGAGGAAGGGAAAGGGATAGAGTTATAAATATCAATGAGAGAGAAACATTGATTAGCTGCCTCCTGCACACCCCCTACTGGGGATCTGCCCACAACCAAGGTATATGCCCTTGACCTGAATCAAACCTGGGACCCTTCAGTCCGCAGGCTGACGCTCTATCCACTGAGCCAATCCTGTTAGGACAATGAGCTTGTATCTTAACTCTTTAAAACATTGTCCCATTTCATTTCCATGCACTCCCCATTCTTTCTGTATACCCCACAGGGAGATATTTCTTTTTGTCTTCATCTTCTTTACTCCTTCCCCCAACTCTTCTCTGACAACTCTTTATTGTTTCTATATAAATGACTTTAATGCAAACTACTACACAGTTACAAATAGCTGCACAGATACACACACAGGTGTACACACATACCCCACCTGAGGCACAGCTCAATGTGATCTCTCAGCTCCTATGCTGTTGGGATTTTATGGCAGCTGGGCAGATGGGATATCCCCTCACAAACGCAGAGCCTTTCCCCCATTTTTATTTCGTTCAAATCAGTGTAAGATAAGTGAGTTCAAACACACAAATATAGGCATGCATTTTTAAAAAACAGAGTAATTATTACATTTGTATAGAAACACCTCATTCAGTCCTTACAATGCTCCTGGTGGGCTGGTCTTATGATAAAATAACAGAACTGGGGCTGAGAGAGGGGAAGTAACTTAGTCAAGTCACACAGCCAGGAAGTGGCAGGTCAGCAGATCACTGATAACTTTTTCATTTCACTGTGCACATATATGCTACACATGCAACACATACTGCAAGCCCACCTCCATGCACATATCCCCCCTGTACAGGTGCATAAACTTACCACCTCTCAGCCTGTTGTGAGTAGAGAGCTGGAGAGCATTTTCAGGGCAGTTCCAGCGTTCCCAAGCAAATTGGAACTTACACTCTTCAATGCCACTCTGGGCACCCAGGGCCGCACTGGTAGTGTAGGTCAGATAGGCCTTGCAAAGGGAAAAGGGCTATGAGCTTTGGGCCCAGCTCAGATCAGGTCATCTGGGGAGCAGGCAGAACTCAAATGGGTTAGCTCTGCATGAAGGAACAATCATGGGTTCTTCTGGGTGAGGGATTCTGGCACTATCTCTCTCCCCTCTTTTCCTTCCCCCAAAGAGATCCCTTAGAAAGCTGAATGGGTAAAAATAGAAGCCAGAGAGCATCCTACCTTGGGACCTGTTATCAGGAAATTGTTCACTGACCTACCAAAGAGAGAAAAAGTGAGGCATTGGTGACCAGGGCTGAGGTAATGGGGCTTCCTTGGCAGGGAGTGAGGGTGGGAGAAAGGACTTACCAGGCAGAGGCACTGAAAGTGGCATAGCATATGCCCACAGCCACCCTGAGCATAAACAGGACTCCCATGGCCCTGCCCTCCCCTAGAGGACTAAATTCAGCCCAGGGACAAGTCCAGAGAAGAAGTGAGGAGAGGGCAGGGTCTTCCTCAGTATATATGTTGGGAAATCCTGAATGGCCAAGGGGGAAAAATCAACAGCCCTTTTCATTTGTCCCTCACTGGCAGGGCTGCAGGAGCCACTGGCCCAATGGGGGACCAGGGAGGAGGGACTCAGGCCAAAGCCTCAAGGAAAGCCCCGCCCTACCTCACCCCACCCCGCCCCTCCAGCCCTTCTTCCCTCCCAGGCTGACAGAGGGTCTGAGGTCTTCCCATACTCTGGAAATATCTTTCCTCTATAAATGAGACTTACGTCTCTTCCTCCTTGAGGGGTCATTTCTCAGACTCTTATAGCACGGAGCAGGCAGGGTTCCTAACCCTGAAGGTAGGTTACCTTTCCCTTGGAGCTTCAGTGCCCTTATCTGTCAAAGAGACCCCACCCCTTATCCTGCCTTGCTCCCTAAGGTGTTAATAATTATGTAGTTACCCAAGTAAGGGGTACACTATTCCCCCCTCCTCCCTTGTTGACTATGAAGTCATGGAATTGTGGGACCAGGAAGCAGAAACACTGCAGAGTTCACCTCTATAGCAGTTCCTTCTACCAAAGTAAGCTCTAGTGAATTTCTTTCATTCCTAATATGTCTATAATTTTGTATTTGAGGGTTAGATCTCCAGTTTGTTAGCTGTTTGTATACGTGGGAATCAACCTTTGGACCACCCAGGGCTGTATTTGAAAAGATTGATGACTTTCTTTCTGATATCACTTTGTTTCAAGGACATCAGCCCATTAGGCAGGAATCTGTCTTTTAGATTTGCTTAGTAGTCTTAGTGCTTAAGAAGATGCCTGGATGAATGAAAAATGGGTCTTATGCTTCTTTGTTCCCCATAGCACCTGGCATTTAGTTGGTATTCTATAAAAATATACCTTTATTTTCTAGAAAGCAGAGGGGAAATTAGTGTGCTTTTTGTGTGCAAACTTTGTGCTTGCTCCTGCGCAGATTCTCTAAAGATCATAAAATGTTTTTCAAAGGAATTTAAGATATTAAGGGAAGGCCTCTGCTCTAGGTATTGGGAGCTATAGACTTTGGCCACTAATCTGTTATGTGACTTTGGGCAAACTGTTAACTACTGTGTGGATTCAGTTTCTTCATCTGTAAAATGAGAGAGTAGGAAAAATGTTGAATGTTGAATTAACTCTAAAGATTTTCCCAGCTCTCTTGCATGCTTTAATCCTAATTTTACAATTTGCAGAATTTATTAATGCCAGAGGTGATTGTAGGCCAGACATGGGGAAATATTGTCTTCCCTAACTGTCAGCATGAGAATCACCTTAGTTAACTTTGAATCCTTCAGTTGGCCATCAAGATAGACCTGTAAGACAGATGCCTGGAGACAACCAATGCCTTCTTCAGAGTCCTCTAGGATTCTGTCTACATAAGACCTCTGTGCTGAACTGTCCAAATCCTTCACTGTGGACAGAGGGGTTTCCTGGGAGGAGAGAAGAGCCAGAGACAGGCACTCCACTCTAGAGTCTACAGATCATTTGCAACCAAACTGTACATCCATTTCCTTAACCCCAGCTCTACTCTCTCATTAGTTGTTTTATTAATTTAATAGAGGCCCAGTGCATGAATTCGTGTGTGTGTGTGTGCGTGTGTGTGTGTGTGTGTGTGTGTGTGTCGGGGCGGGGATGTCTGGCTGTCCCACCCCGATTGGGGCAATAGGGCCAGCCCGGCCCAGGGGAGCAGATGCGGGAGGTTGGCCAGCTGGCCTCACCCCCTGGTTGAACTCTGGTCAAACGTCCAGTCGAGGGGACAATTTGAATATTACCCTTTTATTATATAGGATTTTAGTTTATTTAAAATTTTTTTTATTGATTTATAAAGAGAGAATAAGAGAAAGGAAGAGAGAGAGAAACATCAATGATGAGAGAATCATTGATTGGCTGCCTCCTGCACACGCCCTACTTGGGATCGAGTTAATAACTGGGCATGTGCCCTTGACTAGAATCGAATCTGGGACCCTTCAGTCTGAAGATTGACACTCTATCCACTGAGCCAAACTGGATAGGGCTCATTGGTTTTTAAATGATGACCCAACTCTTGGTTTCTCTTTTTCTGGAATGGAAATCTGGAATGAAGATTAGAGCAGAAGATGACAGTAGAGACAGAGTGCGCCTATGACAAGACAGGCAGAATAGTGTCTCTGAACCAGTGGTGTTCTGATAAATGTTTAACAACTAGCTTTGGTGTGACAGAAGCCATAATTGGTAGTATTTGCTGATTTTCATGGTGTATTCTCACGATGGCTGATTTCAAACTACCAATGTGGACTTAGGAAGTAATGAACAGTAGCACATCATTATGTAATATTTTTATCATATCATAGAAATAATAGATGTACGTAACTTTGAGTATAGATAAAGTAAAAAATAAAATAATTAGAAAGTGATGAATTTTCTTTTTTTAATTCTTTATTGTTTAAAGTATCACTACATATAAATTCTTTTCCCCACATTGTTCCCACCCCCTCAACACATGCCCTTACCCCACTACTGACTATGTCCATGGGTTATGCTTATATGCATGCATACAAGTCCTTTTGTTGATCTCTCACCCCCCCCCGAAAGTGATGAATTTTCATTACTTGTTACCTTTGTTTTTAATATAACTTATTTAATTGTAAGTTTATCCAATTAAATTTCTTCTCTTCTTTTTAAAATTGTTGACAGTATTACAGATGTCTCCCATTTCCTGCCCTTTGACCCCTCCACTCAGCTCACACCCCTAAAATTTAATTTTGTTTTTGTTAATCCTCAACCAAGGATATTATTCCATTGATTTTTAGAGAGAGTGGAAGAGAAGGGGAGAGACACAGAGAGAAAAACATCGATATGAGAGAGATGCATCAATTGGTTGCCTCTTGCACGTGCCCCGACCGGAGTCGAACCTGAGACCCTTCAATCTGCTGGCTGACACTCTAACCACTTAGCCGAACTGGCTAGGATCAATTTAATTTTTAATAATGGCTGTGTTTAAGAACCAGTTTGCAAAGTTCCTGAAAATTTAGCAATCAGTTCTCTAAGCCAGGAGCCACCTCCCAGAGCACCACTGTAGGCCATTCATAGAACATAGAGTGTCTCAGCTAAAGGGTCCCATTTTACAAGGAGGTAACTGAAGTCCAGGACTTACTCAGGGTTACACAGTGAGTTTGGCCCAAGAGAGCCTGGATCCTACCATTCTGCTTTCCCCAGGACTGAGGGGTTTGCTGTGGTGTAGGACTCTAGGTGCTTAAACAAGGACAGTCTTGGGCAAACTAAGATTGTTGGTCACCTGTGATGATGATGGTGTGCATCCCAGGCCAATACTTCTTTCCAAATGTGCACTTTCATTGAACTCCCCAAATCCCTGTTCCCCCACTTTTCTTTTCCAGTCTCCTTCCAGGGCTTTGAGCCTGCGGAACAATTCGGGGGTTTTTGAGGGGGGAGAGTATGGAGTGAGAGGGTGGAGACTGGCTGGAGAATGCCAGAAAAGAGATAGGATTTCTGACTTTTTACACGACTCTGCTAATTAGATAAGGAGGGTGGGAAGCAGGAGAATGGGCCTCCTTGCATATTCTACAGAGTTGTGACACTGAACAGAGCTCAGGAATTTTCAATCTCTGCCACCCCTCCTCCCTGGAACCTTGTCTCTTCCTACCCCCTGGGGATACTTGACTCCCAGTCCAAATGCCTTAGCTTCCTGGGCTCCTGACCCTCCCTTTGGCCCTCAGTTGAGTCTTAATGACTTGCAAAGTTCCTCAGTGATATGCCCAGAGAAGGAAGAGGGGAAACCTTGTGTCCCTTTCAGATCCAGGGTTCCTGTTGTGGGGAGAAGGCATTCCAGCATTCCTGTGTGGAAAATGGGAACAGTTGGTGTCTGTTAAACACATGGGCCTGGAGGGCTGGGGTACATTCGAGGGGATGTCTGCAAGCCATGACTAGATTTGTTTCATGTTCAATGGTGTGTTTCCTTTATCAATCTAGAAGCTCCCTGGGGCTAGGCCTTGTCAATCTCAATTACTAGAGACTCTATCCAAGGACAGTAGCATTTTCTCCCACCAGATTGAGGTGCCAGATGGCAGAAGCTACAACTTCACCATTAGCCTAGGAAGGTTTGGAGTTGGAGGGGCTCCTCCAAAGAGAGATTTAAGTTGGCGAAAACCCCTTAATTATATCTTTTATTCTGTCACCATTCTGAACTCCCATCTCTGGACACTGGATAGTGCACAGAAATTCACAATTAATGATCCTTGATTGATCGTTGGAAAAGAAAGTATAGTAATAATTGTAGGATTTTATTAGTTTTCAGAGACATATGCATCTATTTATTCATTCTAAAAATGGTTACCTATTAGCCAGTACCCAACACTTATGGGTCTAAGATGAATTATCCTTAATTTATGTTTTTATTCTGAAGGAGTTCTCAGTCTGGTATGAGAGATAAAATTATAAATAATTTATAATACTCCAGTGAGATAAAGTACTCTGGAAAGGTTAGAGGTGTGTGTGTGTGTGTGTGTGTGTGTGTGTGTGTGTGTGTGTGTGATGTGTGTGTGTGTTTTTTTGTGTGTGTATGTGTGTGTATAATGAGACAATTCCTTGGAAGAGGACTTTTTTTTTTTAATATTTTTTATTGATTTTTCACAGAGAGGAAGGGAGAGGGATAGAGAGTTAGAAACATCGATGAGAGAGAAACATCGACCAGCTGCCTCCTGCACACCCCCCACTGGGGATGTGCCCGCAACCACGGTACATGCCCTCGACCGGAATCGAACCTGGGACCCTTCAGTCCGCAAGCCGATGCTCTATCCACTGAGCCAAACCGGTTTGGCGGAAGAGGACTTCTAATAGAGACCTGCCATCTGGTGGCAGCAAGTGGTACAAGAGGCTCTTTGTTGATGGGATGTGGGATTCAGTACAATTTCAGCCTTTGTTGAACTCCTGCCTAATGGGTAGCCAGCTCAGAGTTGGCATTGTGGTGGGTATACAGTAATGCTTCTAAGATAATCTTGTCCTTGAAAAACTTGTGGATATAAGATATAATTGAGAAACTTATCAACCAAGCAATAAATACTTGATGTGTGCTCATGAATAAATAGGCTTTTAAAAAAGTATATGATTCATGCTTGTTAC